TTAATGTTTTATTCTACCAATCACAGTTAAGTAAGAATTTGCAGAAGAAGGCAAAAGCATGGGCACACTGTATCACGTGTTTTGGGGCTGCCTCCCCTAGGAGGAGGACCTATTGTGAGCCACAGGCCTTGTGGCAGGGGTCCCTGGGGCAGTGGCGCTTTATAAGGGCTGAAACCACCTCTGGAAAAACCCCTGAGTGCCACCGCCGCTGGCCAGGCACTCTGAGGCACCACTGTCCTTAGGAACGTGCCTGGGCGTCCGTCTGGAAGAGGCCCAGGATCGTGGCTGTCCTGTGGGGCCCCTGGGTCGCTGGCGCCCCTGGGGCCAGCTAGCGCCCCTATGGGGCTCATGGGGGCGCCGCCGTCCCTGTGAGGTCCCTAGGAGCGTTGCCGTCCCTGCGAGGTCCATTGCAGCCTTGCCATCTAGAGAGGGCCATGGAAGCTTCGGCTGGTCCTAGAGGGCCCTGTCGACGCCGCAACCTTCCTGAGAGAGGCCCTAGGATGCAGTTGTCCTAAGACTACCCTGGTGGATCAGCGCCCTGAGCCGGTCCCCGAAGTCACAGCCGAGCCTGAGGACCCTGGGGGTGCCTCCGTGCCTGGCATGGCCAAGTGACCTCACGAGGGATAGTGGCGATCCCAGGGTCACCCAGGGACAGGGCCGCCTTCGGGGCGATTTCCCAGGGACGACAGCGCCTTCAGAGGTATTTCCAGGAGACGGCAGCCTCCAGGGCCCATACCTGGCACAGTGGCGCATTCAGAGGCACTTCCAGGCGGCGTCTCGCCCAGGGTCTCTATGGGGCGCCTCTACCCCTAATGACCCCTGCACCAGGGGCTGGCGCCCCTCTTGGGCCTCTAGGGCCGGCAACAATATGGGCACTTCCTAGTCATGGTGAGGTGCCTTTCCAGGGGCGGCAGGGTCTCTCTGCCGAGGCAGCCAGCGCCCAGGGCACTACTCACAAACAACATCGCCCAAGAACCGTAGTTTTGTAGTACATTTGCGTGCGTCAGTAATCCCTTATAATTGTGATTGGTGGAGCAAAATGTAACGTCATCAAATTACAACCAATAGGAGAACAGAGCAATCTGATCAGCACAACACCCCAACTTATGCTTTGCTGTTGGATATATATTCTCGTTTTCACTATTTAAACTCTGGGAATGTAGCGTCAAATAAATAGACACTGTACATGATTTTTCAGTATTATATAGCCTGAACAATGAAAAGGAAATCATATATCAACAGCAAAACATAGGGTGGGGTGTTGTGCTGACTAATTCTCTGTTTTTTCCTATTGGCAATTTGACATTCCTCTCATTCCACCAATCTGATTAAGTAAAGAATTACGGAAGAATGCAATATATGCGACACCACTATCCATTGTTTTGGGGACGCCGGCTTCACTAAGGAGGACCTATTGTGAACCTGAGCCTTGCTTGGGGTCCATGGGAGCACAGTGGCGCCCCATAAAGTGGCCTGGGGGAGCACACACGCCTATGGAAGGCCCCCGAGCCCCACCCGCTGGCAGGGCAGCTGGGAACACCACGGTCCCTAGGAACGTACCTGGAGGTGCCCTGTCCCTGGAAAGGACTCATGGTTCATGGCTGTCCTGTGAAATTTCAGGGTTTCGCCAGCGCCCCTAACAGGGTCCATGGGGCCGCCACCGTCCCTGTGACGGTCCCTAGGCGCGATTACTGTCCCTGCAAGGTTCCCTTGAGCATTACACCGTCCCTGAGGCCATGGAAGCTTGACTGTTCTGGAGGAAGGCTCTGTAGAGCCGCCTTCCATAAAGGCCCCCTAGGAATACAGATGTTCCTAAAGGTGCAGGGAGGATCCAGGCGCCCTGACAGGTCCTCTGGAAGGGCACCGCTATCTCAAGTGCCTAGAGCGCCTCCGTGCCTGGCATGGCCAAGTGACCCTCACAGGGATAGTAGCGTCGGGGTCCTTACAGGAAAAAAGGCCTTTTAGGGGGTGTTCTCAGGACAGCAACCCCAGGGGCTTCTGGCAGTGGCTTTTATTCGAGGCCCTTCCAGGGTCTCAGGGACCTCTGTGAGCCTCTGCCCCCAGAACTCTGCAGGGCTGCCCATCCCTATGGGCCCCTCCGCCCAGGCCAGAAGCTGGTATGGAGCCCTCCCTAGTGGCAGTGGGTGCACGCTTTCAGGGGCGGCGGGTCTTTGCCAGAGCGACGGCGCCTGGGGCCCCTTTCATGCATTGTCCCAGAGCATAGTTTTGTGTTGTTTGCGTCGTCCAGTAATCCCTTACTTAACTGTGATTGGTGAGCAGATGTAGCGTCATCAAATTACAACCAATAGAACAGAGCAATTGAGTCAGCACAACACTAACTTATGCTTTGCTGTTGGATATTTATTCTCGTTTCATATTTAAACTCAGGAGATATAGCGTTAAATAAATAGAGACACCGCCCTTAGCATTTTTCAGTATTATACATAGCCTAGACAATGAAAAGGAGAGACAAATATCAACAGCCATAAGTTAGGGGTGTTGTTAACGGATAACTCTGTTTTCTAATAACGAACAACGACATTACCTATTCACCAATGCGGTTAAGTGAAGACTACTGGAAGAAGAAACATGTCTATGCTGACTTACACTTATCCATTGTTTTGGGGGCTGCACTCCCCTAGGAGGACTATTGTGAGCCACAGGCCTTGGCAGGGTCCTGGGAGCAGTGGCCGCCCCATAAGGCTGAGGGGCGCCACGCCTCCTGGAAGAGCCCTGAAGGTGCCGCCGCTGGCGGGAGCCTCCTGAGCACCACTGTCGCCAAGGAACGTACTGGAGGCGTCCCGTCTCTGGAAAGGCCCCAGGATCGTGGCTGTCCTGTATGAGGGGAGCCCCTAGGGTCATGGCACCCCCTGGGGTAGCTAACACCCTATCAGGGGCTCGTAGAGCGCGCCGTCCCTGTGAAATTCCCTAAAGGCGTTACTGCGTCCCCTCACGGTCCGTGCAACATCCCTAAGGAGGCGGGAGCCGCCGGAGCTCGGCATTCCTGGAGGAGCCCTGTCGACGCCGCCTTCCCCTGAAGGCCCTAAGTTACCGGTTGTCCTAAGATACCCCTGGTGGGATCGCGCCCTGACGGAATTCCCCGGGGGAACACGAAATGAAGCCTATGAGAGGATAGGTGCCTCCGTGCCTGGCGTGGCCAAGTGACCCTCACGAGGATAGTGGCGATCCCAGGGTCACCCAAGGGACAGGAGGCCGCCTTCCAGGCGGTTTCGAGGACAACAGAGAGGCATTTCCAGGGGTTGGCAGCGCCTCCAGGGGCCATACCACAACATTGGCACCATTCAGAGCCCTTCCAGGGCGGCGTGTGGGGTCCCTCTATGGGGCGCCTCTACATGACCCTGCCAGGCCTCACCCAGCGCCCTATGGGCCCTCCTAGGGCAGCAATGTGACATGGGCCTTCCTAGTCATGGTGGGTGCCTTTCAGGGGCGGCAGGGTCTCTCTGCCAGGGGCAACGCCCCAGGGCCTTCCTGGCTCATCTTGAACTGGCGTTTTTGTCGTACATTTTGCATTCGTCCAATAATCACTGCTTTTTTCAATGTGAATGATGACTCATCTTCAACGTCATCAAATTACGGCAGGGAGAACAGAGCAATCGGTCTGGCACAACACGCTTATCTTTGCTGTTGGTCTATTCTCTGGGAGATATGGCGTCAAATAAATGAACGCCCTTGCATTTTCCGAAGTATTTATCGCAGCCTGAACAATGAAAAGGAGAATATATATCCAACAGCAAAACATAAGTTGGTGTGCTGGCCTGATTCCTCTCAAACCTGTGACATAATTTGATGACGTTACCTCTATTACCAATGCAGTTAAGTAAGAAGTTACTGGAAGAATGCAAATATGCTTGCGACACCACTATCCATTGTTTTGGGCGCCGACTCCACTGGGCTATTGAACACAGGCCTTGGCAGGGTCCAGAACGTTGACCCCCCGCTACTGAAAATGTGGCCTGGAGGCCGCCTATGGAAGGCCCCGAAGGCCGCTGGCAGGCCGCTAGAACACCGGTCCTAGGGCGTGCCTGGAATTGCCCTGTCCTGGAAAGACTCATGGATCAGCTGTCCCTGTAGGGCCCCTAGGTTCGCCAGCACTTCAGCAGGGTCCTGGGGCCTGCGCCGTCTGCCAATGGTCCCTAAATGGCCACTGTCCACGAGGGTTCTTGGAGCATTACCCGTCCCTGAAGGCCCATGGAAGCTTGAGCTGACTACTGGGAGGGCTTCTGCTGGAAGCCACCTTCATGAAGGCCCCTAGGAATACAGTTGTTCCTAGAGTGCGGGAGGGATCCAGCGCCCGGCTGGGTCCTCTGGGGCAATCTCCTCAGAAGGGCCACAGGGCGCCTCGTGCCTGGCATGGCCAGTGACCCTCACAGGGATGGTGGCGATCCAGGGTCCCTTACAGGGAAAAAAGGCGCCTTCTGGGGTGTTCTCAGGGGGACGGCGGCACCTCAGCCCTACCAAGCAGTGGCACATTCAGAGGCCCTTCCAGAGGCGGTGTCTCCCCAAGGGACCTCTATGGGGCACTGTTTTGGAACTGACTCCCCTAGGAGGGACCTATTGTGAGCCACAGGCCTTGGCAGGGGTCCTGGAACGGTGGCGCCCCATAAAGGAGCACCAGGGGCTTCCACGCCTTTGAAAGGGCCCCTGAAGCGCGCCACTGCCGTTGTGGCAGAGCACCACGGTCCCAGGGCCTCTGGGAGCACGCGGCAGCTAGGAACGTGCCTGGGATGCGTCCTTGGA